GTCTTTTAAACAATTTTTGTACGAAACTTTTTTTTATAAGTTAAATATTTTTTGAGAAAATTAGAAAAGCTCATATTTTTGAACTTTTGCGAGGCTGTAAAAAAAAAAGTCGATGAGGATTTTTAGTATGTCATTAAACATATCTTAATTCAACTTTAAAAAAAAAAAACAATTTGGTTGGGAATTTTTTCCGCCATTCGCCAAAATTACTCATTCGTTGACTGGCCTAAATGTAGATATTACAAATACATTCTAAGGTAATATCTACATATATTACTTTTAAATAAATCTTAAAAAAGTGAATAAGATATAACTCGACTGCTTACGCTTCGTAACATGTACTTAGTTCTGTGAAAGATTATTACTATTATAAATTATTATTTCATCCGACTTATCTTTATTGTTTAAATAAAAACAACAAAAAGATAAATGAATTTTTATTGCCCCTATATTAATTTTAAATGATAACAAGAGTATCCATCGTTTCAAATTAGTAATATTACATGTCAAGTTAATAATATCAATACAAACATAAACTTAAAAAAATATTAAAAACATACTGTTTGCACACAGTGTATAAAGATCTTTAAGCAACGTGTGGGAGAAACTGTTCAGTCCAATCGATGAGGACTTTTAGTATGTCATTATACATATCTTAATTCAACTTTTTAAAAAGAAAAATTTGGTTGGGAAATTTTTTCGCCATTCGCCAAAATTACTCCTTTGTTGACTGGCCTAAATGTCCGTTCTTAAAATTTACTTTTATGACAACTTTTTAAAGCAACCTTAACTAACGATAGTACTTGATTAAAGTAATTAACTTTGTCTTTTTCTTCTTCTACTTCTTCCTCGTCATAATCGCAACTACTTTTGTGGTCATAATCTGTGACATGATCTCTTACAACTTCTACGCTCACATCAGCTGTCCTCATTTCTTACAGCTTCCGATTTCTTTCTTATCATATCATGACCAAACCATCTAAGTCTATTATCTCTCATCTTATCCACGATTGACGCTACACCTACACTCCCTCTTATATGCTCGTTCCTTATTCTATCTTCTCTAGCCACTCCACTCATCCATCTAAGCATTCTCATTTCTGCTATAATCATTCTCTGCTCTACTTTATTATCGACCCCCAACACTCTGAACTATAAATAATAGCTGGCCTCACTACAGTCTTGTAGAATTTACTAATTTACTAAATTACTCCTTTGTTGACTGGCCTATATGGAGCATAGCTGATGTAAGTAGTATGGAGTATTATTTATGGATTATTCAGTTTGATAATGATAGGTTCATTTGTTCGTATTTAATTATTTAGTTGTATTCATTGGGCTGGATGAGCTTATTTTGTGTTAACATAAAATATTCTTCTTTTGGCAATTTTAAATTGATTAGAAACCTTTTTTGTTTATTATTAGTTCCCCCTATTTTAAGCCGTACGGCGGAGTTCTTTTCCCCAATTTTATTTTAGATTTTTTTAGAACAGCCCATACGGCAACATATTCAAAGTAATTTTAAATTGTAAAAAAAATTCAAAATTATTATAATGATAGATTCTATAGTAATTCATTTATACTTTTTCGTATATATAAAATATATTGTATTTATTTTTATAAGATATCTATCTAAAGAAATTCTCAGCATTTACTCGGCAGATTTTAATGATAAATAAATTTATATGTTAATACAAATATTCACAATTTTTTTTTTCTGCATTTTAAAAGATTATAGCTTATTTTTAATATTCATAATATTCATAATAAAAATATAATCATAATAAAAAGTAAATTAGAATCAATAAAATTACTTTAAGTATGCTTTTTATGAAAATTCACATATAAAAAAAATTATTTTTCAACTCAAATTTTTAAAATGTTTCTCAATGACTACGTCCTTGAAGTCTATTTCAAACTAAAACTTTTGAAAGCTGCTACANTTATCTGAAATTGCAAATACATCATCTTTTCCTTGGTGATAGATCTAAAAAAAAATATTTTTTGATTTTATTAAATTAAAATACTAATGTTTTATTGAAATTAGTAAATAAAAAAGAATTTTTAGACACCACGACAATTTTTTTTATATGAAAAAATTTTGTGGGCGTCTAGATATTTCCGGTAGGAAAGTTAAAACTTTCAATTATTATTTTTGTTACATAACTCCACAAGCCCACGTCGGCACGGCTGACTTACGAATACTGTAAAGATACTCGTTAAAGTGGCCATTGCATGACATCACTTGTGGGAGACGGTAAGTCATCTCACTATGTGTCCAGTCCACCTAGCTGTCTAAACGACCAGATCCGATGAGGGATCTGGTCCACTCGGTTCTTGTTTTTTTCAAAAGGTGAGACCGTCATTGGAGCATAGTCATCCGCCTGACAAACAGCTGGTAGACACCAATGAGGACTGGGAGCGTTCCCAACGGAGCTCATGTACGTCAGAGAAACTTCATATTCACTACTAATTACTATGTACTAAAATCAGTGGTGGTGAGGATGCGACTTTAAAAATAATACCAGTATTCCTAGGTATAAAAAAATTGTAAATATAAATTAAATATAATAAAATAAAATGCGATAGATATATTATTATTTTAAAGGTCGCAGTAGGAAATAGAAATGAAAATAATACCTATTATACTACTATAGCAATCGAAAACGAGGAGCGTAATTCTAAAAATTAATTACCGAATTTAGTAATATACTAATATTTTACCGCATAGACGACACTGTGTACATGCGCACCCGAATATGCTGAGGGAAACAACTTTAATGTTAGCATGCGACAAATATATTTTAGCTATTTTACTATATAAAAAAAATATTTTTAAAAAATGTAGAATTAAGAATATACAATTAATTTTTTTCTTTTAATGTATTTTAGTAGGGGATGCAATCATCCCATCATCTAAACCACGAGCCGTCACTGCATAAAATACTTGTAACTTAATTATTACATATACTAAAATCATAATTATACAAAAAATATATTCTCTTTCTTATAAGTGATAAATAATAACAAATATGCTTTAAATATAGATTAAAAAGTATTTATAATATTTTAGACAAAGTTATAATTGTATCGAAAGATATAAATTTAAACTAAAAAATAAAAATAAATAAAATTTTATTTTTTTGAAAATAAATAACGGTATATATTATTTCTACGGTCTAAAAGCGCATAAAGTATTATTGAAAATAAGTGAAATGTTAACTGTATCAACTACTATAAACATTTTCAGTTATGTCTGAAACTAACTAATAATATATTTTTATAGCATAATTACCTGAATAATCGACCAGATACTTATAATGAGAATATTATTATTTTATGTATTTAGTTTAACAATTAAAATAAATTCGTTAATTTTTTTAAGGTATTATATACTTTTGGTTTTTAAAGAAATTTAATTTTTAGAAAATCTAAATGTCAAGTATCAAACTTGTACAAATACATTTCAATAATAGACTTTAACAATTTTTAATTATTTTAAAAATATAAAAAAATTATGATTTATCTTTTAAACATCTTTTATTAACCATTATTGTTATTGTATCATTAGTATGTACATAGTGATGGGTTTATCATAAATCACTTGATTACTCACAAAATAAATAGAATATTGAAATAATAATTTTTGATTTCTTTTAGTTATATATAATTTTTATACCTTATAGGGGTGTCAGCTTTATTTTTTTTAATTGCAACATACATATTTAACTATCTAATAAATTGGGAATAATCTAGAAAATTACCGATTGATAACAATTTGTGGACCAGTAATTTGCATGTTATTCTCAATTTTATACTTNATAACAATTTGTGGACCAGTAATTTGCATGTTATTCTCAATTTTATACTTAGGCAGTATTAAGAGAACGGCCGGGAATAAAAATAAAAATTTAGTAATACAAATAGCAGTACCCAAACTTCAACACCAGTCTATACTATAAATTTTAACACCGGTTGAAACAATATTTATTATTGAGAAATATATCATTGTATTCAAATATATTTTAATCTATTTTAATATAACTTTTGCAAATTTATCATTATTTTTTGTCAGAATAAAAATTAAATTATGATTAATCTAACGCATAATAATACTACTTTAGAATGTAGTATCCTAGCATCAACACTCTATAACTTATACACAGACTACTTCCTTCAGTTAAATTTTACTTTTCTGCCTTGTTAGAAACAACTACAATGTTACTAGTGGCGTATCTGGAATACTAAATGCTAATATTTTTTGTTGACTGTATAAAACTTATATTTTATAGTTTAAAAAATATTTTATACTAATTAATAATCACAAAAATTTAATAAATATTTGCCTTCTTCATCGATATATCTTTGGTTCCAGGGAAGAAGGGCTTAAGTCAATTTTTGGTGGTTTTCAATACAAACAAATAAAATTTTGAAAATTGCTACAAGTGTAAATTAAATGTTTATATTCCTATATCAAGTATTTTTATTATTAGTTTTTCATGTCAAACAAATGTGTAGTAATAGATATATGTACATATTTAGCAATTACAAGATAAATGCACTTGAGCCATTTTTATTTTTGAACTTTTGATATAAGTCATTACGATCATGACTTATGACTTTTAGATTCTATACGTTTTGACTTAACTTAGAATTTCAATAAATTCGTATCAAGGAATCAATAACAAAATACTAGGGTATAACCTTTACATTTATTTTTGTTGAAATAGAATCATAAAAAAAAATTGTTTTTCTAGTAAAACCTTACTTTATTAATAATTAGTATAACAAATTAATTTAAAAATAATATTTTGATATATTATTTAAAATTTTGTTTCACATTTGATTAATACATTCATTCCTCTGAGTATAATTTAACTGTACACATATAATAATGTGTATGTATCATAATATTATTATGATATAGAACAAACATAATATAAAATAAAATAGTACAAAAAATAAAAGTAAAAAAATTATAAGAAATTAAAATAAAAAAATTAATCATCATTATCAATAGACAAATCTTCATCAAGATCTGGATCATAATCTTGTTTCTCAGTAGAATCACTATTCAAATTTTTATAAAAATCATGGTAAATATTTGGTATTAACGGGAGAAGTTGGAGTAGATCTCTTTTTTTTTCTTTAGATATTGGAACTGGTGAATTATACATTTTTTGCAATGTAAAATTATTTACACGGCCTCTTCTTTTTAGATTTACTATTTTAAACGGTTCATCTTCAGATAAACTTGTTTTGTAGTATAATGTACCAATGTTACTACTTCTATATTGCAACCAGGCAACATCATGCCAAACAAATTTATTTCCATTTTCATCTTTTTTGCGTACTACTAAAGGTCCTTTCAATAATTTTTCAAAATTAAAAAAATGTTCCTGATCCATTTCATGCACAAGAAAAGGTTTCTTTTTGTTTGTACAGCTTATAAGTGTAGCCCAGTCTCTTGGATGTGCAATTTGAAGTGCGGAATGTTTCTTCTGTTTTTCTATTAGCGAGTGATCTGAGTCGCACTCCATATGAGTGTGACCAGGAGTTAAAAACTTGTGATTTATTTGTTCAATATATTTTTTTTTTCAAGAATAGTAAAAAACATAGCAGAAAGGTATGAATTTTTGTTTTGGCCTGCACAAGAGTCTGAATAAAGTATTATTGTTTTCACATTATTTGATATATTTGAAAGTTCTTTATAAATACATGATGCTATTTCGTTAGCACCTCTTCGAGCAATTGTTTCGTGCCACAAGTAACAAGATGCCTGACCAGTAGCCAGATTATGTGTAGAAAGATTATAAGTCCAATACAATCTTTTATAAAAAGCAACAGACGTTTCAAGAAATGGAGTTGGTNAAAAAGCAACAGACGTTTCAAGAAATGGGGTTGGCAAGCATTGTTGTAAATCAAAAGTTAGACAAAGGATTGAAGGGTCTAATTTAGATTTATCTTTGTCAATTTTTTTAGTATTATATGCATCATCAGCATTTTTTACATGGTGATCACGATCTTCAATCAATTTTTTTTTGTTTTCATCATTAGTTTCCATTTCAATCTTCATTTTAAAAACATCACATTTATGACAAGTGTCCGCTTTTCTCAACTTAAATTTTAATTTTGTTTTCTTGAATTCCCTTTCATAAATTGATTTACTAACTGGTTTTTCAGTCTCAGAACGGTATAATTTGTACATCAAAGTAAGATTTAAATGTGATGGTAAATACTTTGTATCATTAGTACGGCGAGTATAGTGACTTTCATATGTTGGGAATGTTGAAATATGTTTTTGAACATTTAAAATTAAAATAAATTTTTTAAGATTAAAACAGAAAAAACATTCTGTAGTTTTGTTAACAGGACATCTTTTTCCACGACCATCTAACTTGGTAATACCAGATGGACTACAATTTTTATTTTCAATAGCTGTACGGACAAACTTCTCATTTTCATGTAATGTAGTCAGAAAACATTTTTTGCAGCACTTTTTAGGTCTTCCATCATGATTGAAATAATATTCATAAGTGACATTTCTTATTTTTAAAGAATTTTGATTTCGTTTCCTAGAACTTATTACACTTCTTACTAGAATGGGAGATTGTTTCATTTTTTTCAGCCATTTGAACCATATTTAACGTACGACGCTTCATTATATTATTATTATTTGTGTATTTTAATTACCTACTAGTGAATACTTATAATAAATTATTTAATTAAAGAAACAACCGTTGTAACTTGTAAATAACACTATCTCACCAAAATCTGAACACAAACAAAATAACCAAAAACAAAGTACTCAAAATTAACATAAAGTACACACAAAACATGCTAGATAAACAGTTAATACTATAATTAGTATATGTCGACCGTAGAATGATATCACGTTTATCAGTAACAATATTTTGCTTATCAATCTTGATTCATAAGACTTAAGTCAACATAAGTCAATTTTGACAGTTAAAAAAATATATTTATTTACGTTCTAAATGTCTTAAGTCATAGTAATGACTTACGCCTTTTTTGCTAAACAAATTAAACGTCATAGTGACTTAGGATATTTTTATTTTTGCTATAATATGTGCTAGAATACACATACACTTATGCCATCGAGACCAAAAAAAAGGGTAAAAAAAACTACATATGACAAAATTATAAAAAAAAATGCCAAAAATTGCTTAAGCCCTTTTTCCCTGGAGCCAAAGATATATTGGTGAATAGTATACAACTGATGCTAATATAAGAAAAGATGCTATCGATAAAAGCGATGACAATAACCTGTTCAGTTACATATCATATTTTTTCTCTTTATAAAATAATAATTAAATACATCAAATATAATGGTGCACAATAAGTTATACATAGTAATCATTTCAATAATATAAAAATAATGTTTTATATAACAATACAAAAAAATTATTAATAAAACGATGCTTGTTGACAAAAATGTCAACATCTGGAAACATTTCCTTTATGATTAGTCAGCATTTCATGTAAAAATAATGTGATTTTTATAAAATAATATTTATCAAAAAAATGTATCAGATTATGATTAATTTCTCTTGTATAATACAAATTGAAGTGTCTTACGACAAAGATTTTAATCAATCAGATGTTAATCAGTGATGAATTATGAATTTCAACTCTAAAAAAGCACGTGTAAAATTTGTATAAAGAATCTATTCAACTTATAACTAGGAAACTTATTTTGGGGTATTGTAACATTAGGACAAGTATTAAATTACATAAATTTAAATATTACAATTTCAATCTGTACATTATTTAAAAAAAACAACTATATAAATTAAATATCTATTTTCGAACATGCGCTATATCTTGCGTCAACAAAGCCAATCAAACAAGTCCCCAAGGAAATATTCTTGCACCAACGCTTTATAGCCTATAATATAGATTATATTTTGTATTATAAAATCGATATCCCTTTGTAAATCCTTACTAACCTTTGCAATAGATTTGACATTAATGTAATTACAAATAACGCCAAGGTCAGATTTTAAAACTTATGAAACGTTTCAATTTATGGAAAATAAAATTATATGAATTTAAGTCTGTCCACATTACTTTTACTCTTTATCTTAAAAACATCCCCTTGTCTTTTAAATGATCAAATTTTAAGAAATTAAATGGTCAAAGTATTGTTTATAAAGTGCATTAATTAATTTAAAATGTATGCAATTGTGAATGTTTTCTTTAGAATTTGATTAATTAAATTATTTATATGATTTTAGCAAATTATTTAAAATAAAAAATGCAATGCATTTTTTTAAATTCACATCAAATTAACAAATTATAAAATTATATGTCATCGTATTAAATTATTGTTATTAAAAAGAAATATATTAATTAAAAATAATTATTTTAATATCAAAAATCAAGTTGTATGAATTTTAAATTCAAAATATCGATTTATATTATTACAATAAATTGCCAACAATCGTGGAACATAAACGTCATTGAACAGTAGAATCCGTTTGACATGACATTCCGCCAAAATGACCGTATCGTTTTCGACAAGCACCATTTCCGCCAAATCTGCTTTAGGTAAGTATTTCGTTTCCGCCAAACCAATAGTTTATACATGTCTATAAATAGAAGCTTGAGAACCACTGGTTAAAATATATGCCAAAATAACCCGATAATAATTATCTACTATTTATTTAATCGAACTTTTTACTATTTTTTTATTGTTATTAGACAGCAGTGCATTGATAATTGTGAATCATTTTATTCACATTTTAATGAACAATTTTTTAAGGTGCATCTTTTTATTAATAAATTATCTTAAATTTTAATAAAAAATATTTAGTCTTATAATTACATTAAAATATATAGTTTTGATAATGCAGTCTCAAAAAGCGTACGAAATAAAATTGAAATCCGATTCAGAAAAACAAAAGAGACAAGTGATAAATTTAATAATAATGAAATTAGCCGATTTGAATTTGTGAAATTAGTTTTCATCATAGATCTATTTTTTATTATATTATTACAGGTATTAGATATTTTTTAAGCTTATTGTTAATGTTTGAATGCTATTTCAATGTTTTGATGACCCTTTACTTTCTTATAAACTATATTTTTATTATTCATTACAAATATATATATACATATACTTACTTAAGATAATTATCTATTAGAATTTATTTACCTTAGGTAAAACGTCATATTTTCTTTATAAAGTTATGCCTATGTGATAAGATAAGTTATTATTCAAAACGACGTGACCATATTTAAAGGTGGTTAAGGGGGTCAAAAATTCTTGGAGGCGAATTTCATTTGATAGTGATAAAACAAAAAATTACTTTATTTTGCTCATTCATATTAATACCCCACACAAAAATATTAAATACAGGCATGAACGTAACATTCAATAAAAGCCAAACAATTTGGTACTGGCAACTACCTAACTTGGCCGTATGTTAAAACCGATACTGGATCGTCATGGTGAACCATGGATAAAACTAAATGGTTCTCAAATTTTTTAGTAGATAGACAGGAAGAAGATTAGTTTGGCGGAAACGTTACGGTCAATTTTGGCGGAAACGACAATCTCCTGCAATATGCGTCGTGTGTAAAAATATATGACCGTGAGCATATCACGGTCGGACTTTTCACATTCGAGTGTTACGATTGGTCGTCACAGACTGTCCCTTTTATTATGCACGGATTATATTGTTTTATTAGGTATACGGTCAAAATTTTATTATTTTAAGAACATTAAATAGAATAATATAATTTTACTGTATACCTAATAAAACAATAGAATTCGTCTGTGACGGCCGATTGTTATATGTCATAATTTTTTTATTTTTTGAATCCTTTGTAAAAAAGTTTCATTTCAAAAAATTTAAGAAAGTCAAGAAATATAGTCTCGAAATTCATTAAAAAAATAATTCTGTTAATTTTTGAGAAGGATAAAGGTCGATTCACTTTATACGGAACGTCAACGTCACATTACAGATCGTCACGTCAATATATTTAACTATGTATTTATATCGTATTGTTCACATACACCGGCCACGATACGTAAAGTCAACAATGGTTAAATTTTTGGACGTGACGCTGCTGATCTGTAACGTGACGTTAAGGTGTTCCGTATAGTGTGAATCGACCTTTATTCACATTAAACGTCAATGAAATAACACCAATTGTGATCTTATTGTAGTTGTCCCGGTGATTTTAAAACCAATATTATAAAATTAATTAGTTTTAATATAATATGTATGTACTTCACTGTGTCAAAATTTAATAAGAAAACATTAACAATAATGGTAATAATTTTGGACGAGTAAGAAAATAACAGCTACTAACGACGTAGAAGAGCATGTGTACGAGAAATGTTAGTTAAAAGAAAAACTTGTGTTCAATTGCTGTCTAATTTTACAATACTATTATATTTTTATGTTAGTTATCACTGTTTTTCTTTTAGCATTGTTATAAAGATCATGATATTGATTAACTTATTCTATGAAAATTTCATCATCAGTATTAAAATAACGAAAAATATAATAATAATAAAAATAAAATATAATAATGACTCGTACATAATTTATAAATGAAATCTATATTTTTGATCGAGGCGTTCGGTTCACACATTCATACTACCCGAAAGAGGGTCGATTCACAGTGTATGGAACCTCAACGTAATGTTACAGATCAGCAGCATTTCGTAAAAAATACAAAATTTAACCTTGTATTTAGGTGACGTTTTTAGTAACGTGGCCGGTGTATGTGAAAAATATTGTATAAATAAATGGTTAGATATTTTTTATAACACGATAGTGTGAATGGACTTTTAGTCATTTCCTACACGTTCCTCAAAGTAGTTGAAGTTATAGAGTGAATTTTCTATTTTTAAATGTAAGCTTCTCAATTTTAATGTGTATTCAAGCAATTAACTCTTTTTGAAAAAAAAAGTAAATCTATGGAAATATAGGTTTTTTACGTTATTACTTGTTAAAATTATTTTATCTGATTTTCTTTTCTTTGTGCAATACATTTTTAAATATTTAAAAAATTGTCGAATTAATTTAGAGTTGTACATATAGAAATATGATATATTAATAATTTAGATAATTCTACATAAGTATTATCATCAATTGAAAAGTATTAATAATGATTTAAACAGATAAAGTTTTCATCTGTTTATGGCACTATTTTATTTCCCAAATATCACGACAATGCTATGATAAAATTATATTTGAAATAGAGTTAGTGGATTAACATTATTTGTACAGACCATGTGTAAGCATACTATGTATTTATTCACCTTTAGTATAGCTTAATTTTAAGGATACTTATTAAATTTAAATAAAATTTTTAGCCAAAAATTATTCTTAAATGAAACAATGGAAAATCAAATTACGGGGTCTAAATTGCTATCTAATAGAGATTGCCTAAATATTTTATTTTAAAACATGCAATTTGTCAATTTAAATTTGCACGACAGCGCATATTTGGTAATAGATGAATGTTTAACTTATTTGAGAAAGGTGCGTACTTTTACACAGTATTATCTCGATTTTAATACAAAATTAAAGACCTCGAATGAAAATAAATAGTTTTTATTGTTACAATTTCAATGAGGCTGTTCAGAATGCATGTGTAAATAATAAATATGAAGTTACTAATATTACTTCTACACAATTTTAGTTTAACTTAAATATTTAAGATAGTACAAGAGAAAAACATAAACCAAGTTATTTTTTCCTAAAATTAGATGAGAACAGTTTTTCTTAATTTCACGAAAAACCATTAACTCTACAAAAAAATAATAAGGAACCTTATTTTTCATATCATATAATAGCTCATTGGGTTTTTGACATCACATTAGAACTTACCGTGCTCAAATATACTAGAATTATTTTTGTAGTGAACCTAATAAAATGTTGAGCCCGTGACA